GGGCCCCCCGACGTTATGATAATGGAGCATGGCCTCGAACCCGTCAATGTGGTCGACCGGGTCCGCGACTCCGTCATACTCCTTCAGGTGTGGGGGCTTCTCCATGCCCGGGGGGATGGGTGCATCCATGATGGCCCGCGACAGGGGACCGCGGGGGTTGTCCTCGTCGCTCCTCTCCGGAGACAGATATGGGGATCTGTAGTATTGTCTAGCACGGTGGTCGTGCTGAGTTTCCCTCGAGCGTGATGCTCGGTGGTTGAATGCTACACGCCCGTCCCCGGCGTGTCTCTTGTCGTGCCTCGCCGGGTCGCGGCTGGGTCCTCCGGCGGGGATGATGGGATCTCTCTCCAGATATGGTCGCCTCTGCTTTGGTCGGGGAGAGGGGCTTCTGGAGTTCTCCCTGTAGTGTCTCCGCGGGGGAGAAGGGTGTCGAACTTCTGTGACCCGAGGAGGTGGAGAATGTGGCCTCCAATGTCTCCTCGGGGGTCTTCTGTCATCTTCAAGCGCCCTTAGTCTTTCTCCTTGGGCGAAGATGAGATAGTTTGTCTGATTAATGGCCGCGAACAGTGCCTGAGTCGTGGCATCTGCCCCGGCGGGAACTGGAACCTCGTGGAACCGGGCAGCTCTGTAATGAGCGAGAGCCACTGGGTCGTCTTCGAGTGGTGGTGGGAGCGGGGAGGATGATGAGGTGGCCCCGTCCCTGTGCGAGGAAGTTCCGAGGACGATGGTTGCAGGAGCGGTGTTGCCGGGATTGACGACGTTGTCGAGATGCCCGTTCTTGTCCGTCGTGCCGTTATTCGTGTCGGTGATACGGACGTTCTGCTCGTCACGAGTTGTATCAGCCATGACAGGTAGTTGAATTTTGAGCTTTGGTCTTTTGAGTTGTTCGTTAGACGGGGAAGCTAGTTTCCCACAGACGGTGCCACTGATCTGACCTGATCAGAAATGGACCGTCACGGCTGGCTCCGAGCAAAAAGCTTTTTGAACGAAGTGGGGGGGAGGTACCTGCAAGGCACTCCGATGCTGAAGTAAGTAGAAGTACGAGCAGGTAATAGCAAGTGTATGGTTAGAATGATGAATACCTGACCCTCTGGAAGCAGAGGGTATTTATAGCCCCCAGCGATGGGCCAAGGTTCCTTCATTGGGCCGGGCAGGTTTGGCCCAATGGAGGAACTGCCAGGTTCTACGTGGGTAGTGGGGACCCGCACGTGGTCCCCTTCCTGGATGTTCTGCGTGAAGTGCGGGCGGACGGAGACGCGGTCTTTTCGGGGCCTCGTTGGGAGTGCAGTGGACTGAGTCTGCCCAAGTTGGGGTGCTCGAGGCGATGTCGTGCTGGACAACAGGATGTCGAGCTGGAGATGCAGAGGTTGAGCACGTGACCTCAGGGAGCACGTCGGGCACGACTGTGACCCTTTGGTCGGCGTGTTCCTCAGCTGGAGATGCAGAGGTCGAGCACGTGACCTCAGGGAGCACGTCGGGCACGACTGTGACCCTTCGGTCGGCGTGGTCCTCAGCAAGTCTATTTGGATTGGGCCTTGGCAATGCTTTTGGGCCTGTCGGGCCCAGTCCAGAACAAAAACTCTTATATATAATAATTTGAAACTAACTACCACAAATTGTCTTCTTCTTAGAGGATGACATGTCCTTGTTTGCATGTCTCTAGTATTTTGCAGGCTTCCACGTATCTCCTTTTTAAAGGTCAGATAAGCGCTAAAATTAGTTATAGCCTTATGAATATTTGTCGAATACGCTTCGAGTATCTTCAGAAAATCTGCTAAGTCATTCTCCTTGCACTGCTTTATCTTGGTGGAAACTCGGTCGAAATATTCCTTCTAACAATTCATCATCCCAACATTGGCCTTCCAAATTCCCCTTGAATCTTAGTCGTTGGAGCGTCGAAATCATAACTAACAGGAACCAACTGTAGATTTATTCGGTATTGGATCTTTTGATGCATTTTAGATTGTAACTGATACACTTTTTGTATATATTATCATCAATGATGTAATCTTGATACAATTTAATACATAAGTAATATTATAACCTCAACAATGCTGGTGTAATTCTTGATTAATTTTATGGTTTGCTTATGATTTACATTGTATGTGCTTGTATACTAAGTTTCTGTTTTTTTTTTGTTCAGGTAAGTTTTCGAATATACGTATCTGAATTAATCTCGCGTATTTAAAAAAAACAATCAGTGACATTTTCAAATATTCATCTTCGAAGTTACCCTTTTGTAAGAAAATGTGTGGTTTATTCGGAGATACATTTCTGAAAATTTATCTGATACATGATAAGATTTTTGAGGTTCAAAGTGACTCAATACTTGTATAAATAGGGTGTCTCCAAACCCTTTTTTTTTACACAACACACTAAAATCAGAGAATGAATTTATATCCCCATCTTTCATTTATGTATTTCAATAGCGAGAAGTCGACACTTCCATTTAGGGTCACCGAGGTAACATCCCTCATAGATCTGATATCCAAACTGAATATTCTCTACGCTTTATAGAAAATCACAGAGTTGTCAAGCTCGAGTATCGATCACAAACGATAATGAAGGACTACTCATTTCACCAACTTTAAATTGAATATGGATGAAGATTTAAAGGTTCTGTTGAATGTTTTTCTCCGCTGTGAATCAAAGGGTCCGATTGAAGTAGATGCGAAGATTCAAGGAACCGTCAAGGGTATAATCATTATGTTGTAACGTCTCGATTATAACAATATATAATGTTGAATTTATTTTAATGACTATCTATGTAATATTGAGTGTTTTAATTTAATGTCAAGTTGGTGTTGATGTTTGTTTTGTTTTCAATTCAATAATATTGTCATGTCTATGGTTTTGTTTGATTTATAGTATTAGATTATTTTCGGATAAACATCTCCGCATTAATCTTTAATTAAAATAAGGAAATAGTTAATTCGAAGATGTATATCCGAAAATGACCTAAATTCACTTTGCAGATGTATCTCCAAATTAACCTTTAAATAAAATAAAGAAATAGTACGTCCGGAGATGTATCTCTGAATATATGAGAATATTTTTTACTTTTCATCAACAATATGAGAGAAAATTACATGAAGTAAATAGAAATTCCCAAATAATATTGTTGCACCCAAGGTCATATGTCTGAGCTTGAAACTATTGCACTTGGTGATCATGAAACGTTTGATAGATACATTCTTATATATCCTCAATTTTAATGTAATTTTGAATGAAATGTCATAATATATGAACAAATTCAAAACATATCAAATTAAGTTGTTTATTGACATTTAAATTGATTCATCCTAATGACACTAATACATGATTTATTTAGAGCACAATTATTGTGTTGAGTGAAAGTGTAAGTGGTTAAAAATCTACATTATATATGAATGTGTGGAATGTTAGATTTATAAGAGAGATAGTCCATTTACATAACTCTTTAAAATTTTAGGCCGTCTCTTTATGATCTTAAAATATTTGTCTCATTGGTGCTCCCAACTTTCTCGAACTCCCACTTTGATATCAAAGTCGTGGTTCAACTTGGTGAGGGAGCGCTTTAAGTATACAACCATGTTGTTTTTGCAGTTTTTGAATTTTTATTTATTTTATATTTTAACCAATAATAAAGTGATGTGAAATATATTTTAAAATTAATAAGATTCATTTTAAAATTTCAAATAAGTGATATGAATATTTAAAAAATATAATTTAGTTGCTTAAATAATTGAAAAGTAAAAAAATTAATATATTAAATAGGTCTCTTTATACCACTAATTTGAATGGGATAAATGTGATTGCTCAAGTGTTCTTCGATGGTAATGAAAATATAGTTTGGAAGAATCCTTTCGGAATTTGAAATTGTTTCAAATGTGACGAACATCCATGGATACAAATCTAAGATTTCTATAATGATATTAACTTGTATAAATGAAAATACATCGTAAAATTAAACATACTTAATATATTGTTAGAAATAAATCATAGTAATTTGCACTTGGTTTGGATGAAAACCAAGATTTAATAAAAATTTAAAAATTGTGTAATGAAAAACAGTTGAAATGGAGAAGGATTTAAAAGTATATATACACAAACAAATTTACTTGAATAATCTTTGTAGCACAAAAAGAACTTAAAATAATTATTTTAAAAAGATCAACTTGAATAATCTTTTTAGAATAAAAAGACATTAAAATATGACATTTTAGAAGATCAAAACTTTGATCTAACAAGAATGCATAGGATTTAATGTTTTTAGCTGATTTAAAATAATTTTAACAAAATTTATTGTTTGAATAAGTTAAAATGATAAAAATCTATAAAATATTTTGATCAAATTAAATTTAAACATTTTACAATGAAAAATCACTCTTATATTCTATAAAATGAGTGTCAAATTGAATATTACTATACAAAATTACAAATTGATCCCCATATTTTTCAAATTGACTAATAAAATTTTTCAAAAATTACAAATTGATCCTTAATAATATTTAAATTTTACAAATTGATTCTTCTATTTTTTAAATTACAACTTGGTACCTTCTTCCAAATTTTAAATTCGACCAAAAACTTTTAAAACTTATAAAAACAATTATACAAAATTTAGAAATTGATCCTCATATTTTTCAAATTGACTATTAAAATTATTCAAAAATTACAAATTGATCCTTAATCATTTTTAAATTTTACAAATTGATTCTTCTATTTTTTTTTTAAATTTCAACTTGGTACCTTTCAAATTTTAAATTTGACCAAAAACTTTTAAAACTTATAAAAATAATCCAAAATATTTAACAATGAATAATCCTAATCCTCTATTCAAACAAAAGAAATTCATAATTTTAATACTCTATTCAAACAAAAGAAATTAAAAATAATGAATTTAAATTGATTAGAATTTTAAATTACTTAAAAAATTTCAATTAGCTCTCTCTTAAAGACATTACTTCACCAATATAGTTACATCCTATTGAAAATCCAAGTAAAATGCTATGTAATTTTTATTTATAGAATTCCATTACTCCTGACATAGCTGAAATATCAGTGGAAGCGGTATGAAATATGGAAAATCCAGAGCTCACACACAAGTGCTGAAATTCATTTTCAGTTCTTTCCTTTCCACCATGTTCTGGAACCTCTAGAATTATATAATCCAAAACATCACCTTCCCGTGTTTTGGGATTTTTTTTTTGAATAACTATATATTAAAAAAAAAAATCGTAAATAACCGCGTTTCGGAAAAAATTACGCAAATAACTATGTTTCAGATGACTCTCTAAAGGAGGAGCCATCTGAATTGGCGCATGCACCCATTTTTTAAGGGGAAGCGCCATCTCACTTGACGCCTATGTGCTTAGGGCATGCCCTAAGCCAAGTGAGATGGCGCCTAGGTGTTACTTTAGGGCAAAATTTGATTTTTTTTTGCCCGGTGCGTTGCGTGTTGGATACAGGATCAACAAAATAGACTTTTTATTAAAAAAATAATAATTACATCCAACTGTATTACATTAAAATAACAGATAAAAAAAAACAGATAAAAAAAACGGATAAAAAAATACAGAAAAAGAAACAGATAAATCAGTGATCCCCCGGAACCCGGTAATGACCCCCGGTTCCGCATCCCCGTCCTCGTCTTTCTCGTGCTGGGTGTCGTCGCGTTTCCTGCTGCGGCAGGGTTGATGGCCCATCGAAGTCAATGCGGTCCGGATCCATAAAATCAGTCAGATCTTCATATCTAGAAGATCCGCTTTGGTACAGTCGATTACCCATACCCTCAAAGTTTGGTCGTGTTGGCGGTGAGTGGGGTTCCATGGTGGGTCTGTAGCATTGATCGTCTGAGTACGGTGGGTAGAAAGGAAATGGATCTTGGGGTGTTTGGTATTGAGGATGTTGGGTGATTTGGTGATATTATGGTTGATGGTAGGCTGGGTCGGTTTGTTCGTAATCTTCCGACATTCTCATATCAGGGCTAAGGCTGGATGTTGAGGGGCCCATATTGGGATATACGGAAGATTGAAATTGTGTGTGGGGTATGCGGGTGTGCTGGTATTGTGATTGGTATTGTGGTTGAGTGTGAGGCATATCGGGGTATTGATAGTGTGGTGGTGATTGTGGTTGGTTGTGTGGCATTTGAGTGTAATTGTGTTGTGGTGGGGACTGTGGTTGGGTGTTTGTGGGTCTGTTTCTTCTTGGGGGTTGGTGGGAGGTTGATGGGTTTTGGGTTTGTTGTTGAGGAAACGAGGGTTGTGCCTATTGTGTGCGTGGGTCAACCAAGTACCTTAGATGCGACACGTGCATTTCAGGGTTACTAACCGACCTGTACCAAGACAAATATTGATCCGTGTGTCGCATATTACCTTGATTAAGGAAAACCGGAAATTGCAAGACATAGCGGTGACGCCTCTGCCACATCTTACACCATTCTTGAGCGAAGTCTTTCCAGTTGGTAAGACCCCACTGAGCGTCGACCCTTTTAAGATGCCATGGGGACAAACAAGTTGGATCACTTGGTATCTCTTGATGCATTTCGAACTGCATCTTCACACGGTCGCTGTGGTACATCTCCACAATGTTGAACCGAATGATTGCAGTCTTCGCGGTCCAAGTTGCTGCATCCTCCGGGTTTGGATCATGGCCCAAACCCAAATATGGTCTCCAGACGAACTGCGATAAAATTTAAATCAGGTTAACGCAAAAGTAATGTATAAATAATTTAAATGAAGAAAAATTAAAAGCTACGACGTACGTCATCCGGGCCTAAGTGATCCAACAGATTGCGGTATAGTGCGTCATTGAATCTTGGATTCTTGCCGTAATCCATACCCCTCACGCAGTACCTAAAGGAAATGAAAAACATTTTATTCTTAGCATATATTTGGTGAAGAGATGAATAGTAATAAATGATATAACTTGATGACTTACTTTGTTGCGTATGGGAAACCGAAAGTGTTGTTGTTGACGGGGTTTAAGGACTCCATCCTCCACCAACCCCAGACTTGTAGTAAAAAAGCGCATCCATAAAATGTACATTTTTCCTTGACTGCATTTTTGCACAAGGAACTGTATAGGTGGGCTAAAACTGCAGAACCCCAACTATATTTTCTTGTTTTTTCAAAATTTCTTAGTAAATGTAAATATATAAAATTTACACTATTTCCCGTACTTTCGGGAAATAAAAAGGTACCAAATAGTATCATAAGATAAGTTCTGGCTTTTACTACCCTGTCTTGCTCGGAGGAATTTTCGTTTAATTTCAAACTTGCATAATGACTTTTCAGCTCAGTGAGTAGTATTCCCTGACCTCTCGCACCACCACCTTCAATCATATCTCTGCCCAACAGTTCTTCAAACTGAGAGTTGGGTTGTTGAACCGACCCGTTCACGGCCTTACCGTCGACATGGAGACCTAGTAGCATGTACACATCCTCTAGCGTGATGTTACATTCACCTATTGACAGGTGAAATGTATGGATCTCTGGTCTCCACCTTTCCAACATTGCAAGAATGAACTTCGAGTCAATGGTGCAGTTAGAGATCTTTATGACATGTCTAAAACCTGCGTATTCCAGATATGAAAACAACCAAGTAATTTTTTTATAAGGTTGAAGTTCAAGATGACGAGGATCTCCAGAATATATTTTCCAGCCATGTCTATTCTGGGTACGACTCTATTGAGTTGTACGTTATGCTGCGAGAGCCTCAGGTGATACAAGAGGTTGATCCTTTGGAGAATGAACAAGCTGAGGTAGATGCAATTGATGATGAAGAAGAAGATGACGAGTTAGAGTTTGATGAAATGGTGAATGATAATTCCGACGATGATGGCATCCCTAGTATTCCTGCAAACGAAATCTACACACCACCTCCGCACATGACAAACTTCAACATGGACGGAGATGAACCTTCTACTGACTTATTTTTCAATCTGTATATGCAGTCGGATGAAAATTTAAAAGAGAAGGACAAGTTTCGTAACAGAGAGGAATGCATCAGGGCCATTAAAAAATTCCACATGCTCAACTCGGTTGATTTTAAGGTGGACCGTGTCAACCCAGAAAGGTACAAGATCAAGTGTGTCCACCCTGACTGTATGTTCAAGCTGACTGCATCATACAGATTAAGAGGTGACTGTTGGATCATAGGTTCCATGACTACCCACACTTGTGTAAGTTCCACTCAATCACAGGACCACCGAAAACTCAACTACGATCTCATCTGTCAAGAAATCCTACCCCTGGTCAGCAACGACCCATCTTTGAAGGTGAAAACAATCATCTCCCACATCACCACGGTTTTTAACTACACTTCGTCTTACCGTAAGGCGTGGTTAGCAAAGACTAAGGCGATTGAAAGGGTGTACGGAAACTGGGAGGAGTCATACCAAGAACTTCCTCGCTACCTGAATGCACTCAAGACGTATTCTCCAGGTAATGTTTACGTTTTGGAAACAGTGCCAGCATATGCCCAAGATGGTAGTCTACTAAATGGCAACGGAATATTCAGTCGAGTGTTTTGGGCATTTCAACCATGCATCACAGGATTTGCATCATGCAAATCAATTATTCAAATTGATGGAACTTGGTTGTATGAGAAGTACAAAGGCACGCTACTGATGGCAGTTGCACAAGATGGCAACAACATTTTCCCCATTGCCTTTGTTCTTATCGAGGGGGAGACCGGTGGTGCTTGGAGCTTTTTTCTGAAAAATCTGCGGACACACGTGGCTCCTCAACCAGATCTCTGTTTGATCTCGGACAGACATGCCTCCATTGAAAGTGCCTACAATAATCCTGCAAACGGTTGACATGACCCTCCTTCTACGCATGTCTATTGCGTTAGACATATCGTCCAGAATTTCTCGAGGGCGATCAAGAACAAAACATTGAGGAAAGCGGTTATGAATGCGGGATATGCATTGACACAACCCACATTCAAATATTACCACAACGAGATCCGTTTGTCAAATCCGGAAGCTGGTAGGTGGATCGACAATATTCCGGTGGAAAAATGGACTAGGTCATACGACAATGGCCAAAGATGGGGGCATATGACAACGAATCTTATTGAATCAATGAATGGGGTATTCAAAGGCATACGAAACCTCCCAATCACTGCCTTGGTAAAATCTACGTATTTTAGGATGGCTGCGTTATTTGTCAAAAGAGATGAAATGTGGAATGCAGTGTTGCAATCTGGACAACTATAGAGTGAAAGCTGCATGAAATACATTAAGGCTGAAAGTGCTAAAGCCAACACTCATATGATTATACGGTTTGACCGACACAGCCACAACTTCATTGTGAAAGAGACAATCGACCACAATGAAGGCCTGCCAAGACAAGAATATAGGGTCATGCTACCTTCTCAATGGTGCGATTGTGGCAGGTTTCAAGCATTTCGTATGCCTTACTCTCATGTCATTGCCGCTTGTGCTCATACCCATCAAGACGCGCTGCAACTTCTGTCAAACATTTACAAATCTGAAACGTTGCTCAACGTTTACAACAACAACTTTCCTTTGGTAGCAAAACCAGATTATTGACCTGCATACGACGGCAAAATAGTGTGGCACAATGACCAAATGCGAAGGAACAAGGACCAAATGCGACACAATGACCAAATGCGAAAGAACAAGAAGGGTCGTCCCAAAAGTAAGCGCATCACAACAGAAATGGACGATCTTGACAAGTTGGAAAGAAAGTGTGGTTTATGCCGTCAGGTCGGACACAATCGCAAAAATTGTCCGAATCGGGCGTCTGGCTCGACCACATAAAAATTGTAATACATAAAATCTTTCCTTAATTATGTTGTAAACATTTGGGTTTTCAGTTAACAGATTTTGCTACAATTAATAAAACGCGTACAAGAATAATTAACGATATTCCGTCTACGAAATTACAACGGTTAACACAATTTCATCTGACCCATGCATCATCAACTACATCGCTGTCTGTTTTGACTTCATCCAACCATACATTAGGTCTTCCTGTCGCATGTGAGGTTGTTGTTCGTTTTCGCTGGATCCTTCGAATTTTTTCCCCCTCCGCAATGTCTCCATCTAGCCATCGCATCAACTCCCGCTTCAGACGCTCCATGGGGTGAATGTGCCAGAATTTCATTTTCATCGCAGGTTTCGTGGCGGAGAAGATAACGTAACCATCTCTACTAAAAATCATAGGCGACGTCATGACGCAAATAACAGAGTACAAAATAAAAATACAGTGCGAGAAAGTGTGTGAAAATTTTGGAGAAACAGACGAATTATTTATAAAACATTTTGTCCTAGTTTTGTCCTAGGAGCCAAGTGAGATGGCGCCTCCTCTCACTTTTAAGGAGCATGCACCATCTCACTTGGCTAAAAGTCAAGGGAGGCGCCAAGTGAGATGGCGCCTAGGGAAAAAGAGTGGGTGCATGCGCCAATTCAGATGGCTCCTCCTTTGGGGAGTCATTTGAAACATGATTATTTGCGTAATTTTTTCTGAAACCCAGTTATTTGCGAAATATTATTTTAATACATGGTTATTGTAAAAAAAATTCGTGTTTTGGAAGAGCTTTGTGACAATTTCTTAAAAACTTCACACATCCTTCATCTACCCAAATGTGACATACAAGCTAAAATGAACAGATAAAAATACATGAACCCGAGATCAAATTAAGGGACGAAAAAAGATATTAAATCAAAATATATCTTACCTAGATGAGTTGGTGCACCTTGAATCACTTGAGGCAAATCAAAGTTGATACCTTTAATTAAAGGATATTCAGCGGATACAATTTGTTTCAAAGCACTCCCTACTCCACCTCCTACATCAACAAGTGTTGAAATTCTAATCCTTTTTTCCGGATATTGGTAAGCAGGGTGATCCATGCACTTTTTGAAAATGGTTATTGTTGTTGGGGTTTATAATTACATCTTTTACATCATAACTGCAATAAACAACACAAAATCATAATAAAACTATGTCTCGAATATATTCTTGTGGTAAGCCTCTGATTTTCAGAAGACGGGGTAGTAATCCAGAGTTCGACTAAAAAGTAAGTAAAATTTAGCAACATTTGTTCCAATCAGAACTTAAATTTGAATTCTCTTCTGAACAATTCGTCCCTAAATATAACACATTAACCCCTTGAAATCACTTGATTAATCATGTATCAAATATATGTCCAAAATAAAAAAGTAAATGTAGCTAATTTTACTATATTTATATAAATGTTCAATTACCAAACATCATTATATCCGCTATGCACTAATGTTGAGAGTGGACCAAAAGAGCCTCCATTGTTATCATATGCAAAGTATTTTCCAATTGGTGAGAGAGCATAATCTCTTTCTCTCTTACCCTCCACATTGATACGAATGGAACAAATGAGAAGAAAATTGCTAGCCAACACATTCAACATGTGTTCAACTCTCAGCCAATTCAGGGTGTTGATTTGGAAGCTCAGAAGCTATTTCAGAAACAGAAAAACTGGAATTAACGTTTGAAAATAGGCCTGATAAATCGACCTTCTAACATTTTATACTATTGACAATTTGGCAGGAAAATTTGGTGCTTTATTAGAGCCAACCGCAGCCATAACATAGCAATTCACTTCAAATACCAAATAGCGACAATGAAAACCACTGAAAACAAGAACTAAACTTTAATTGTCAATAACTAACCTTAAGTGTATTCCAGAAGTATATATGTAGCATTATTGCTTCCATTGATGACTGTCTTGGAAATGCTTGTAGTCACAAAAGCTTGCTGTTCATGCTCCTTCTGCTGTCTCGCAAACTCAATATGTCTAAACCTTCTGAATCTCCCCTTCTTGATCTGTATGAAGGGAGATGTTAACAATTTTCCACAATCTTTGAAACGATTTTTCTAAAAGAAAGTCAACAGAATAAAATAGTACAAAGTATAGTTGACAAACACCTACACGAGATGTATACATATATCATCTCACTCCATATTGAGTGCCAAGTTTCAAACATATATTGTCTCTGAATGAATCTGATCCATACATCACTTTGTTGCTTCAGAGCACCTATGAAAACAAAACAAAACCGCAAAAACTCACTAACATATCATATCACTAATTTGACATTTCACATTACAAGAACCAAGAAACAACAGTTTCACACAAATAACAAACTGCCTTCTGAAATGCATACTATCTTTACTCGCCTCTTTTGGGAACATTAATTTAACAATGTTGCAACTCCAACGAGGCCATTTCATTGCGAAGCTGAAGAGCCCTATCGTGGTTTTCCTTCTGCATGTGACCAGCAATCAATGTCTCATATATAGTCACATTTGGAACCAACGATCAACCATTCATAATTCTCAAATACTTCTCGGCATCTTCAACCTTTCCAAAACGGCACAAACACTGAATCATGGACGAGTAAACGGACAATCCAGGACACAAAGACTTATACTCCATTTCATAATATATCTTAAGAACATCCTGAACCTTATCATTTCTCGCATAACCACGTATCAAATGAGAATATGTAACATTACTCGGCAAAAACAACACAGTCAAAACATCTTTCACCTTCTCCACATCTCCATTCTCACCAAGCTTCTCCACCACCTTATCAAATGCTAAACAACTAGGAACAAACCCAGCACTCAACATTTCCTCAAAAACCTCCAACACTCCTTCAACCGTCCCGAATCCGCACACCCAATGATAACAAACTCATATCTTCCCTTCCCTTCCATCTCTCGCATCAATCCAATCGCCTCTCCAATCTTCCCCTTCTCACAAAACGCTTCAATAAACGAATTATAAACAAACGAATTCTCACTAAAACCTCGTCTCACCATCTCATTATACATCTCCAAAGCAGAACCCAAATCCCCTAACCTAACCATAACACAAACAATCAACAAGTAAGCAACCGAATCACCAATCAAATTCTTCTGCAACAATCTCTTCAGCAATGTAACTAACCTAACCAACTTACCTTCTTCTCTACCCTTTTCCTTTTCCAACATTCTGAATATAAAAGACTCGAATTAGCAATAACTGAAGGAGAATGTGAATCTCTCTTCCCGATAATCGGATCCACCGAATCAACACTCCTATGTACTTTATACTTTATTCAACAATGAATAATTTAATACTTTAACAATGAATAATTTTAATACTTTATTCAAACAAAAGAAATTCATAATTTTAATACTCTATTCAAACAAAAGAAATTAAGAATGAATGAATTTAAATTGAATCATTTAAATTGATTAGAATTTTAAATTTCTTAAAAAATTTCAATTAGCTTTCTCTTAAAGACAATTCACCAATATGCTAAAGTTTATTCAAGAATATCAATTACAAGTTACATTATATTGAAAATCCTTGTAGAATGCTATATAATTTTTATATAGAATTCCATCACTCCTGACATAGCTGAAATATCAGTGGAAGCAATATGAAATTTGGAAAATCCAGAGCTCACATTCAAGTGCCGAAATTCATTTCCAGTTCTTTCCTTTCCACCATGTATCAAAAACATAAGATTTTCAATAGCACAAGCATGCTTAGAGAAATTGCTCGGGTTTGGAACCACTAGAATTATATAATCCAAAACAATCACCTTCCCGTGTTTTGGCAGAGCTTTGTGACAATTTCTTAAAAACTTCACATCCTTCATCTACCCAATTGTGACATACAACTAAAATGAACAGATAAAAATAAAATACATGAACCCCGAGATCAAATTAAGGGACGAAAAAAGATATTAAATCAAAAATTAGTTGAGGTTATACATAAAAAGAAAGGAGATATATTTTACCTGGATGAGTTGGTGCACCTTGAATCACTCGAGGCAAATCAAAATTGATACCTTTAATTGAAGGATGTTCAGATATAATCTGTTTCAAAGCACTCCCTACTCCACCTCCTACATCAACAAGTGATAAGCAGGTGATCCATGCACTTTTTGAAAATGGTCATTGTTGTTGGGTTTGTAATTGCATCTTTTATATCATACCTGAAAAAAATAAACACCACGAAATCATATTAAAACTTAAAACTATGTCTCGAATATATTTCTTGTGGTAATCCTCTGATTTTCAGAAGGGGGTAGTAATCCAGAGTTTGACTAGAAAAATAAGTAAAACTTAGCAAAGTGTTCCAATCAGAATTTAAATTTGAATTCTCTTGAACAATCGTCCCTAACTAGAACTCATTAACCACTTGAAATCATTTGATTAATCACGTATCAAATATATGTCCAAAATCAAAAAGTAAATCTTGGTGGAAACAAGGCTTGGCCAGTGAGTCGTCCCTTTGAACCACGAAATCAGATTAATCGATTGACTAAGTGGATCGGAACTGATTGGCTAAACCAAAAAAAAAAAATCGATGCACTACTGTTGAAGTGGACCAAAAGAGCCTCCATCTTTATCATATGTAAAGTATATACTAATTGGTGAGAGCATAAACTCTTTCTCTCTTAACCTCTTTATTGGTAAGAATGGAACAAGTGAGAAGAGAATTGCAAGCCAATACATTCAACATGCCTTCAAGTCTCAGCCAATTCATGGTGTTGATTTGGAAGCTCAAAAGCTATTTCCGGAGCAGAAAAACTAGAATTACCATTTGAACTTTGTAACTTAGCTATGATATCAAATATTTGAGATCAACAGCAGCATTTACAATTGCAAGAAAAAACCGACGGTTGAAGATTAGCACATATCAAATCATAATCATTTGATTCTGATTTGTCAAGCTGTTACAAAACAGTGGTGTAAATAAATTTATTATCTATTATTGTCATTTCCTTATTTAGGTAGAAGCAATTATAGGAAATTATTTATCTATTTATTAACAAATTAGTGCACTGTATTCTATATATACCTCAAAATGTAACAGTTCTAATATCAATGAAATATACAACAATTTCTATATGATATCAGAGCACAAGATTTGAACCATCCCTAAACCTTGAGCACCACCCATGGCAAATACTAGAGCGGAAAATTCAGCCAACAGTTTGGCTGAAGGACATGCTCTTCCTATCACTGGTCACAAATTAAATAGCCAGAATTACAATCAATGGGTGCGCTCAATCAAAATCTACCTTCAAGGAAAAGGGAAGGAAGATTATATCACAGGAGACTCCAAGTGTCCAAAAAAGGGGGATTCCAACCTTGAAAAATGGCAACTAGAAAACAGTCTAGTAATGTCATGGCTGCTAAACACCATGACAAATGAAATTGGAGAAAATTTCTTGTGCTATGACACTGCCAAAGAGATGTGGGATGCCGTAAAGGAAACCTACTCTAATGTCGACAATACATCTGCAATTTTTGAAATCAAGAGCATACTCCATGACTTGCGTCAAGATGACCGCTCAGTCACATAGTATTTTAATACTCTCAATCGTCACTGACAACAACTGGATGTATATGATGAAGTTGAATGGAGCTGCACAGAGGATAAAAAGAAGTACAAAGAATTGGTGGAGAAAGATAGAGTCTACAAATTTCTTAGGTTTGAACACAGAACTTGATGAAGTTCGTGGGAGAATCCTTGGAACCAAACCTCTTCCAGTATTCTCGGAAATACGAAGAGAGGAGAGCAGGAGAAAATTGATGCTTGGAAAATCCAGTGCAGCCCCATCTATAGAAGGATCTGCAATGGCAGCAGGGGGAGATCAGCGATCTTTCCAAAAGAAAACTCAACCTTGGTGTGACCACTGCAAGAAACCGGGTTATACCAAGGACACATGCTGGATCATTCATGGAAAACCATCAGGGCTAAAATGGACTAAAAACTGAGACAATAGAGGGAACACAGCTGAGGTAAATTCTCACTCAACACCATTCAACAAAGAGCAAATGGAAGCCTTACAAAAAATGTTTCAACAAACAATTGGTACAGCTACTGTGGCACAAAAAGGTAATTTTTTGCATGCTCTAAACATTAGCAGAGGAAAACAAAAATCATGGATTATTGACTCAGGAGCATCTGATCACATTATTGGAGATTTGACTGTCTTTGATAGCTATTCTCCAATGTCAAAATAATTCGACTGTTCGAATTGCTGATGGTACCCTTTCTAAGGTCATGGGTAAAGGTTCAGTCATTATTTCGCAAAATATTACTCTTAGTTCAGTTCTGTATGTGCCTAAACTTGATTGTAACTTGCTGTCCATCAGTAAACTTACAAAGGATTTGAAGTGTATCACTAAATTCTTTTCTAACTTGTGTGAATTTCAGATTTTGGAGTCGGGGAGGACGATTGGCAATGCTAAAGAATGTGCTGGACTCTATATCCTTCAGGCTGAAGCATCTAAAACAAAATTCGAAGCAGCCTCTTGCGCTGTAGTTTCTGCATGTAGTGAAAATTCTGCAATGCTGTGGCACTATAGACTAGGCCACCTAAATTTTATGTACTTGGAAAAAATGCTTCCTAAACTATTCAATAAAAATCAAAAGTTGTTTCAATGTGAAATTTGTCAATTGTCCAAACATACACGCAGCCCCCACCCACCTCAACCCTATAAACCTTCCAAACCTTTTTATGTTATTCATAATGATGTATGGGGACCATCGCGGGTCAGAAATGTAACTGGAGCAAGATGGTTTGTCACCTTTATTGATGACCACACACGGATCACTTGGGTCTACCTTATGAAAGATAAATCGGAAGTTGGTAGCATATTTGAATGTTTCCATACCATGGTGGAAACACAATTTCAAAGCAAAATTAGAGTGCTTAGGAGTGATAATGGTCGTGAGTACTATAATTCTGCACTAAGCTCATACTATATGCAACATGGAATAATACACCAAACCTCATGTGTGGATACACCTCAGCAGAACGGGGTTACCGAGAGAAAGAATAGACACCTCCTAGAAGTAATCCGATCTCTCATGCTAGCTACAAATGTACCTAATCAGTTTTGGGGAGAAGCTGTCCTCTCTACAACCTATCTGATAAACATAATGCCTTCTCGAATCCTTAACTTTCATACATGCCTTCCCGAATCCTTAACTTTCATACGCCTTACTCCACTCTCCAAACCTTATACCCAACCAATCGTATTCTGGTAGATATGGGAGGCATTATGTGAGGAAACGTAGGAAAGAGAAAGAGAGAGAATAGGACAAATTCTGTTAGCAGAAGCACATGGGAGGGGACAGCTGGCAGCAGCTGAGTGGTAATAGGATCTAGGAATAATTCCATAAATGATTGAGTCCCAATCATTTGTGAGGTACGATAATACTTGAGTGGATCTGATTCCTAGGAGAGATAAGGCCTCTCAAAGTGCCTCTACTAGTTTCCTTCTATTTTTGCTGCTACTGCCTTTTATTGTACTGATTCTGCTAGATCCCATTTGAACTCTAGCCCCTTTCTTAATACGATCAGTACTTTCTATCAGTTTCTTTGCACCATTTCCATGCATATTCCTGTTAGATACTACACTGATTTTATCAATTTGGTATCCAGAGCCTTGGTTTCGCTTACTCTGTGAATGGTTGTTACGCGTGGCATCATGGAGAATCGCGTGGAAACGATAGAACAGAGGATGAATCAGTTTGAAGGGACGATAGAACAGATCGTAACGGAGCAACAGTCTAGACCTCAGGTGACAGTGGAGCAGATTCGCCAGCTCATTCAGGAGCGTCCGGGTCACCACAGAGGATCCGACGACGATGAAGATGAGGGGAGCATAAGGAGTAACCGTTCGCACGAATCTCGACCCAGAAATCGCTGTTACGGGGGGGGGGGGGGAACCATGGGAAGCAGAAGGAAGCTGGAGATTCCCATTTTCAAGGGAGAGGACGTGTATGGGTGGCTGGTGCGGGTCGAAAGATACTTCCGTTTGAGTGGTGTAAGGGTGCGCGATAAACTAGACGCGGTAGTGTTGGCTATGGAGGACAACGCTTTGAATTGGTACCTATGGTGGGAGGAGCAAGCCCCACTGAGGACATGGGAGGAGTTCAAGGTAGCTGTGATGAGGAGGTTTCAACCGGGTCTGCTGCATAACCCGATGGGGCCTTTGTTGAGCTTAAGACAAAAAGGATCGGTGGTGGAGTATATGGAGAAATTTGAAATGCTTGTAGCTCCTTTGAGAAGGGAAGAAAGGATTATGTTGGACTCCATTTTCATGAATGGACTGAAAGAGGAAATTCAAGCTGAACTAAAACTCCATGAGAGTCAAAGTTTAGCAGATTTGATGGATAGGGCCCTGTTGATTGAAGAAAAAAATGAGGTGGTCCACAAGAAGAGTAGTTCATGGAGAGATAGAGGAGGATCTTTTAAGATCGGGGATCCTGCAGAGGTTGGAGGATCTAGGAGGGAGGGAGAGAAAGGTAATGGAGGAGGTAATGAGAAGTTCAGAGGGAGGAGATTGAATCCTGCAGAATTAGAAGAAAGGATTGTGTTTCAAATGTGGGGATAAATGGAATAGGGAGCACATATGCAAATTCAAGCATATGAGTTTTAAATTATGTGAGGAAAGCAGTGAGGAGGAAGAGGTAACAGGAGGAAAAGGGGTGCAAACAGAAGACTTGGTGGGAGGAGTGGAGGAATGCAAGACTTTGCAACTCTCCCTGCAGAGTCAAGAAGGATTAACTTCTAATAAATCCTTCAAGGTCTGGGCTACAGTCAAGGAAAAAGAACTGTTGACCCTGATTGATTCTGGGGCAACTAGCAATTTCATTGATGCTAGGTTAGTGGAAATGTTGGGATTACAGTTGGTGGAAACACCACCATGTGTAATTGAGGTGGGGAATGGAGAGAAGGTGAAATTCCAGGGTGTGTGTGAAAAGTTGTATTTCTGGTTGCAAGGAGTGAAATTCAGCCAAAATTTCTTGATGGAGTTAGGAGGGACTGATATGGTGCTAGGTATGGACTGGTTAGCTAGTTTGGGAAATATAGAGGCTAACTTTGGAAATTTATGCCTGATGTGGGAGTGGGGTGGACAGAAGTATAGTATTCAAGGAGATCCTACATTAAGCAATCAACAAGTTTCTATG